TTTAGATGAAGTCTTGCTCTGTCGCCCAAGCTGGAGTGCAGTGGCCCAACCTCAGCTCACTGATACCTCTGCCTCCCGGGTTCAAGTGATTCTTCCGCCTCAGCCTCCTGTGTAGCTGGGACTACAGGTGTAGGCCACCACGTCTGGCTAATTTTTGTATTTTTAGTAGAGACAGGGTTTCACCATGTTGGCCAGGCTGGTCTTGAACTCCTGACCTCATGATCTACCTGCCTCGGCCTCCCGAAGTGTTGGGATTACAGGTGTGAGCCACCCACTGTGTCCGGCCTAATTTTTGTATTTTTGGTAGAGATGGGGTTTCGCCATGTTGGCCAGGCTGGTCTTGAACTCCCGACCTCAAGTGATCTGCCCACCTTGGCCTCCCAAAGTGCTGGAATTATAGGCATGAGCCACTGCCCCTGGCCATCTTCTCCCTTTAACCACCTTGCCTTTTCTTTCCTATAGCTGTGTTCCACTTCAGAATTTAAAAGATGATATGATGGTTCTTTCATGAATAATAACTTTTGTGTCATGTTTTATAGCTTTTAAAATACATTCTTACTGGCAGTTTTATAAATGAGGATTCCTAGCAGCTCAAATTTAGCCTTCAGTAATAATGTTTTTCTGTAAATTTCTTTTTGGGAGGAGGAGTTAGTAAACAAACTTACAATCCAACAAACTAAAAGCTTCCCCTCCAGTGGCCACCACACGTCCTCCTTCCCTATTTGGAAAAACTCCTTAGAAGAATGAGCTCTCTTCACTGTCTCCAATTTTTCTCCTCCCTGTCTTTCTTGAATTCACTACAGCCAGCTCTTTCACCCTGACTCTATTAAAACTACTTTTATCAAGGACACAATGTTGCTTATCAGTCCTCTTCTAACTTGTCCCATTTGCAGCAATGAACTCAGTAGATCACTTTCTCCTTCTGGAATGTTCTCTCAGCCACCAGGACACCACTCTCACCCGTTTTTCTCCCTACCATGCTGGTTGCTGTTTCTCAGTCAATTTTGTTGTTTCTTCCACATTTGCCAGATCTCCAAATTTTGGAATGTTCCCAGACTCTGTCCTTGGACGTCTTCTCTCCTCTCTGAGTGTCTATTCCTGGGTGATCTCATCTGGTCTCAGGGCATTCAGCATGCGCCAAGGAGCCAATGACTCCCAGGATGTCTCTCTAGCTGGGGGTTCTCCCCTGGACTCCAGACTGGCACATCCAGCTCCTTCCCCACGTCTCCTCTTAGATCCCTTAGAGGCACCTGGAATTTAACATGTCCCAAACCCTCCAGCCCTACCTAACCCTCCCTAGCTTCATCCATAATCTTCCACAGTTAATGGGGAAGTTAGTCTTGTTCCATGTGCAAAATATTTGCAGAATTTGATGCCTTCTTACTACTCACTAGCCGTCTACTATCAAGGTCAAAGCCACCACCATCTGTTGCCTGGATTATACCAATAGCTTATTTTTTCTTCTTGATTTAATTCGAAGGCTATTTTCTTTATGAAGAAGATGCCTACTAAGTACAGTTTTTCCTCTTATATAGTAGCCAATATCCTAATAAGCTTCAGTTTCTTATTTTAGAAATCATAATCTAAAACATGGAGTTAGTTGCTTACGGGGTGAACACAAATGAGACATGATTGAAACAGGAGATATATTAATGATACTTGACATAGTCCTTAGGCCACATAAACTTATTTTCCACCCATTTTTGCTCCTTAACCTAGAATGTTGATTATAATCCATGTCCATATTAAAGGAAAAATGGTAATATATATAATTTGTTACTGCCTATTAAGTGACTGGCACCCTGATTGTGTCTTAACTGGTCTCCTAACTCCCATCTTTGCCCCGATGGTCTATTTTCAACACTCCAGCCAGGACGCCCTGTTAAGCCTTGGGTCCTCCAGGAGCTTCCATCACACTCAGAAGACCCAGAACCACAAAGTCCTACGAGGTCCAGCCACATGTACTCTCTGACCTCACCTCCTCCTAATCTCCCTCTTGTTCACTCCATTACAGCCACCTCTCCCTGCTGTTTCTGAAACACACCAAGCCCACTCCAACCTCAGAGCCTTTGAACTTCCTGTGCCCTCTGCCTGAAATGCGCCTACCCTGATATTTCTCAGGCTGGTCTTGCAAGGATTTTAAATTTGGCAAAGGGCTCTACAGATGTAAGCTGCTGTTACAGCACAGCCCACTGGTGAGAATGATTTTTCCACTTCCACTTATTCCAGCATTCACAGGGTAGGGAAGACAAAAGTGGAAGATCCAGGTCTGTCTGATACCAGATTACCTTGAGGTTGCTGACAGTCAGGTCCTTCGCAGAAATCGGAGAGGACAGAACCTGCCAGATGAGCCACTTCCTTACTGTGTGTGAGGGCTAGAGAGGCAGTGACAGGTGTTTTTCACAGGTGGCTCAGCTAAACCGTCCTTTTCAAAGAAACCTCTCCAGGGCTCACTGAGATTTGGCTGCAGTCTGCATCTTTCTCCCAGGCCTTCCGTCTCCTGTGTGTCCCTTGATGTTGTGCATGTGCCTTATTGTTTTTTTTTTTTTTTGAGATGGAGTCTCACTCTGTCGCTCAGGTTGGAGTGCAATGGCACGATCTCAGCTCACTATAATCTCCGCCTGCTGGGTTCAAGCGGTTCTCCTGCCTCAGCCTCCCAAGTAGCTGGGATTGCTGGTGCCCACCAACATACCTGGCTAATTTTTGTATTTTTAGTAGAGATGGGGTTTCACCATGTTGGCCAGGCTGGTTTCGAACTCCTAACCTTGGTGATCTGCCCGCCTCGGCCTCCCAAAGTGCTCAGATTATAGGTGTGGGCCACCGTGCTTGGTTGTGGCTTATTCTTTTAAAGAAGACTGTGCTGAGGTTTAGATCAATCTAGTGAATGAACTATAGTGACTTCTTCACTAAGTCCAGACCATACTGACCTGACCTTTTAGCTTTAATTGTTCAACTGCATATTTTCCTTTCAAAAGAAAGAGAGAGTCAAGTGCATCGACTGCCCACCAGAACTATTTTGATTCCAAGAGGAGGAGCCACTTACCTTCTTAACAATCCCCTCTGACTGTTCTTCAATGACGAGTGATAAATCAAACTGTAATTCTTCCTCAACAACAGATGGAAATTTCACTGTCACATTAATGTGGCTGGTAAAATCAACAATCTCAAACTCTGGTGGTTCAAAAGACACTTCAGAAAACAAAGTCAGAAACAAACCCCAATGTCAGTTAATAATTGCATAACGACAACGCCTCTCATTGTCCTGGTACAACCTTACTTCTTTTAAAGAAAAGCTATTTATTTATTTACTTATTCTTTGAGATAGGGTGTCACTGTGTCACCCAGGCTGGAGTGCAGCTGCCCCATCTCCGCTCACTTTAGCTTCTGCCTCTCAGGCTCAAGCGATCCTCCTGCCTCAGTCTCCCGAGTAGCTGATACTACAGGCACACACCACCATACCTGGATACTTTTTGTGTTTTTTGTAGAGACAGGGTTTTGCCATGTTGTCCAAGCTGGGTCTCAAACTCTTGGACTCAAACAATCCACCCACCTCAGCCTCCCAAAGTGCTGGGATTACAGGCACGAGCCACCAAGCCCAGCCCAGCTACTTTCTTTTTAATCTGCCTATGATCCTAGTTGTAGCATGTGTTATTTTTATTTTATTAGTGAAAAACTGAGAATAATATAAGTGAAATGATTTAACATTACTACAGGAAATCAAGGACAGATGATTCTGGAATGGAAGCCAGTAACTTTCCCTATTTTCAGGCTATATTCAAAACATAAAATTAAAAATGACTTCTTCATATTACAATAATAATACAAAGTCATTGTAGAAATATAAAAAAATACAGATAGGCAATTGTCTTTGAATGTGATTAATTATCTTCTGTCTATGCTGTGTGTGTATAAATATATACATATACACATATATAAACTAGTATGTGTGTATATATATATATATATACACACATACATATATACACACACATATATACAAACTAAAGTTGAATCAGTCTAACTTACACTGTTTTGCATGGTATATATTTTTACTTAACCATATTTCATAAACATATTAATGCATGGCTATCTACAACAAGGGCTGGAAAGCTTTGGCCTTCGGTTGTAAACTTTGGCCTTTGGTTGTAGACTTTTACAGAGCCTTCAAGTTCAGAATGGTTTTTATTTATTTATTAATTTCTTTAGAGATAGAGTCTCCTTCTGTTATCGGGCTGGAATGCAATAGTGCAATCACAGCTCAACATGACCTTGAACTCCTGGGCCCAAGTGTTTCTACCACCCAAGCCTCTGGAGTAGCTGGGACTACATGCATGCACCATCAAAAATAAAATAGGTCTTTTATTTTTATTTTTGTGGAGATAGGGCCTCACTATGTTGCTGAGGCTGGTCTCAAACTTTTGGGCTCAAGTGATCTTCCACCTTGGCCTCCCAAAGCTGGGATTACAGGTGTGAGCCACTGTGATGGGTCAGGTAAACAAAAATGGAGAGGACTACATGACAGAGACCATGTGTGGCCCACAAAGTCTAAAGCGGTTCTTCTCTGGCTCTTTATAGAAAATCTGCCAAGTCCTGATTTACATTATAATTTTTCATTGCCAATGCTATTCCACTAAGTGACTGTATCATGATTTAACTGATTCACTGTTTCGAACATTTAAATTATCTCTGATTTTTATTAAAAACAAGGTATCATGGGGTACTCTTGCAGTTAACTTTTTGCATTTGTCCTTCATATTCTTTCTTTCTCTCTCTCTCTTTCTTCTTCTTTTCTTAACGTAGAGATGGGGTTTTACCATGTTGCTCAGGCTGGTCTTGAACTCCTGAGCTCAAGTGATCCACAGGTCTCGGCCTCCCAAAATGCTGGGATTACAGGTGTGAGCCACTGTCCCCGACCTTAATAATTTCTTTGGGACAAATTACTGAAAAAGAATTCTGGATTAGAGTAAGCACATGTGAAGGTTTTTAACACATGCTGTCAATTACCTTCAGATGGATCATGCCAAAGCACACTCTTTGTATTCCCTCTAAACCTGGGCATTTACGTATTTTTTGCATTTATTATTAGAGTCATGAAACGTATCTTACTGTTACTTCAATATACATACATTCTTTAACAACCCGAATACCATGACCTGTACATTCTGATTTTCTTTCTTTTCTGTGTATACACAAAGATGTCTGTTTATACACATACACAAACATGCACACAATTCCAGTAAATCTCATATCTGGATTGTTTGCCACAGTGGGATTCAGTCATCCTTACCACTTTGCTACGTGTGTGTGAGCACACGCACACCCACACAGCCTACAACAGGGGACTGAGACCGAATCGTTCTCTTGGACACTGGTTGTAAAGTGGGAATCGAAAAAGTAACAGAGCTGGGGCTGTTAACATGGTGCATTAGGGAGCTGACTTGAGCCATCTGGGAGGCTGAGACCCGTGGATCACTTGAGCTCAGGAGTTCAAGACCAGCCTGAGTCCTAGGGAAAGAAAGAAGGGGCGGACCTGTTCTTGGGGTCCAGTCTTCTTTTCTGAGCTTTGGGTCTTAGGTGTGTGCACACCTGGTGTTTACACACACAAGAACTACTGGGTTATAATGTGGGGCTGGAGTTGCTATATTAAGAAAACACTGGGGCCAGGCGTGGTAGGTCACACCTGTAATCCCAGCACCTTGGCAGGCTGACGTGGGTGGGTCACTTGAGGTAAGAAGTTTGAGACCAGCCTGGCCAACATGGTGAAACCCAATTTCTACTAAAAGTACAAAAAATTAGCTGGGTATAGTGGCGTGTGCTTGTAATGCCAGCTACTAGAGGCTGATGAGGGAGAATCACTTGAACTCAGGAGGTGGAGGTTTCAGTGTGCCAAGATCATACCACCACACTCCAGCCTAGGTGACCTAGAGCAAGACTGCATCTCAAAAAAGAAAGAAAAACAAAAACAAAAACACTGGGCCAAAGAGATGGCCCAGAGCTTAGGTCCAGCCCATCTGAACCAGGCTCCACATTTCCTGTCAAGCTGTGAAACCGAAAAAGAGCAGCTCCCACTGCCTTATATAGGCATTGGGTGAAATCAGCAAAGTATAAACTATCATTCCACTTTTCAGATTAAAAAATCCACGGCCGGGCACAGTGGCTCACGCCTATAGTCCCAGCACTTTGGGAGGCTGAGGCAGGCGATCACCTGAGGTCAGGAGTTCGAGACCAGCCTGACCAACATGGAGAAACCCATCTCTACTAAAAGAAATTAGCAGGCGTGGTGGCACATGCCTATAATCCCAGCTACTCAGGAGGCTGAGGCAGGAGAATCACTTAAACCCGGGAGATGGAGGTTGTGGTGAGCCGAGATCACACCATTGCACTCCAGCCTGAGCAACAAAAGTGAAAACCCCATCTCAAAAACAAAAGAAAAAACCCAGAAAACCAAGGCTCAGAGAAGCAAGGCAGTCCATGGTTACAGAGCTAGGAAGTGGCAGCCAGGAGATGAGCCCAGCCTGGAGTCTAAAACACCTTTGCAGACCTCCTATTTCATGGAATAGCGAATAATAATGATCTCGATGATGAGGACGAGGTGGAGAAACAGAGATCAACTCACTGTCCATGGCTAGCCAGAAAATGTGTGTGCAAGTGAGCAAGGTTGTGTTCCCACTGAATCCTTCTAGGTTGATGAGGTAGAGCTCGTGTGTGCTTTTCCACTCATCTGTGAGGTCACAAAATGATCTCGTGGTATTTGCACAGTTCTTAACCGTCTTCATATCTTCTGGTTTACTGTGGAAAAAAAAAAAAAAAAAAAAAAAAAGGGAAAAGAAGAGTGTTAACTTTGACGGAATGAGAGGCTATTTTTGGGTGCCTCAATTCACTGTTTCCTTTAGGCTCTGCTCAAATATCACTGTATCAAGTGGTCTTCCCCAACTATCTTACTGAAAATGGAACATCTTACGCCCTCCCCTACCCCTGCACTTTCAATCCCTCTCTCTCTTCTCGATCGTTCTTCGTAGCATTTACCCACACCTGTCACATTATGCCTTTGTTTAGTGATGTCTCCATTTATATAATGTCTGCTCCAAGAGGGCAGGGAGTTTGGTTCACAGTTGGACCCCCTGGCATGTAGTAGGTACTCAGTAAAATTTGCTGGATGAATAAATCAATGAATGAATGAAACTTGAGCACTCATGGTAGAGGCCTCAGATCTCCCTCCCTCTGTGGGACAATCATTAATGCCTTTCCTGAGAACCCCTCCCTCTCTGGCTAAGACTAGATGATCCAGTCCTAAGTCAGACCTGGGCTATTTCAGGGACAACACAGACACCTCATCTTCCAAGCTTCAGAAAGTTAGCTGGATGATACATATGACCACTCAATGCAGAGAAAAACTTTTAAGACTTTAGCAGGCACCCAGGAGAAACTCACAAGAGATCTTCTTACTGCTCAGTCAGTAAGCAGTACCAGCAGCAGCTCTAGGCCAAATAAATAATCAACAAAAGGACATCCCAAGGGACTGCTGGGTCAAAGCAATGTCTTATAAGAGTGACTGGTAGGTGTGGGAAGAAGAAAGACAAAAAGGACTCCCTCCATCATGTCATGAATTCTTACAGCAACCCCTCTGCAGAGCATTAGCTTAGGGGCTGACCTCTGTGCCAAGTGTCAAGCCGGTTAGTGACAAGACCAGACTTTGGACCCAGGCCTGTCCCAAACTAGGTCAGGCAGCTTTCTGGTGTCCCACCACAGTAACGAAAAGTGAACATAAACCATCAATACAGTCAACAGACCTTTGGACTCCTGTCCCCAGATAAGAGGACTTTTAAACATCCAGACTGACTGAATTAGAGAAATCACTGTCAAACCCATACACAAGAATTATTTTGTATGTGAGGTTCTGATCTGTAGAAATTGGCTTTGATGATATATATAAACTTTGTCAAAATAGATTTGGATTATTATTCAATTTAATTAAAAATGGATGTATGATGGTGTTTCATTTTTGGCCTTTTAAGGCTCTGAATAAGAAACACAGAGAGAAGGGGAGGTAGACAGGAAAAGGGAGAGAGAGAGAGGGAGGGGAAAAAAAAGATCACCTCTTCTCCCACTCCCCATATAACAGAACAATAAAATGTTTACCAAGAGAAGATGAAATACCACACCAACCTCATGATTGTGTACACTAACGTATAGTGAGTTGGTACGATGGAGTGGTTTTTTAACTCCCATGATAAGATGGACCGGAAATTTCGCAATGATATCTTTACAGTGCAAGATTCATTTGCATAATCTAAAGAGAAGAGGAAAAAAGGCATTGAAATTTGGAATCCAAGGTTGTATCCTGGCTACTGTTCAGTCATTTCTTGGGATCTAGAACGCACACCTCTGGCAGATAACCCCTCCAGAGAGCCCTGGGGTCTTGAAAACAGGAAGTCTACTGGACATGGGAAATCAATTAACAAGTTAATTAACGAGCAACATGTTGTCAGAGCAGGCAAGCGTAGGAAACAGGAACTCTGCACTGTATAAATAGAATCTGGACAGAAGGGCTTCTTTACCTGACTATCCTTAAATGGTTCACTGGACCAAATGAACCCAGGCCACCCCAGCCCACATGATGCATTTCCTTTCTCTCTCCCCTACCCATTTTTCTTCCTCAAGCCGTTCTCTCAGCTCAGCTCCCAGTTCCTCCATGAAATCCTCCTTAAGTAGCTCAGCCCATTGCAAATTTTCCTTCCTCTGCATTCCCCAGCGCATGTATTCCCCGGATCACAGAGAGCCGGGGAGTATAACATGTGCCCAGACTGGCCCCTTCTAGGCATTTAAGCCCTGTAACAATGCTGAAGTAGGCAAGACAGACCGTGAAACTGGGTTGAATTATACAGTGCCATGCAGTTGGGAAGTACCAGTGATAAACCAGACATTAAAGCCACATTTGCCAAATTCTGCCTTATATGGTTAAATTTTTAAAGATCATCTAAGTTTCCTGTGGTTAGGGCCCAGGCCTTTGTTCCTCAATTGCCAATTCTTCACCCTCGACCAATGCTTAGCACAAGGTTGGACGCATATTTAATGGTTAGTGAAGTTTTGTGGACAGATATATTTATGTAGCAAGAAGTTTAGTTAAAAAAAATTATCTTCCTTTATCTGGAACAAGCAGGAAGAATATAAATTAAAAAGGAAATATTTCTGGGCCATTTTTTTGTCTGGCACAGTCTGTGTCTCCTCATTCTTCTATTAGTGAGATTATTAAGAGTTTGAATATTCTTAGAAGTCTTAAAATGATCTCTAGTGTTAATTTCTTAAAGTACTTTTATGTCTCTGGGAAAACCAGAGTTAGTTCATGTTAGCTCCTTTTACAGAGAAAGAATCCCAATCAATAGGCAATCGATGTACAATCAGGAATCGAATCTCCCACATTTTATACCTCTGAATGCCCCAATACTTTCACTCTTACACAAAATTTGTGAAGCCAAAAAACATCTCTTACCAGGCAAATCACGTGAAATATGAAAGGCGAGGCTGATACACACTAGGAAGAAGAAAACACATTAGAGAAGCAACAGTTTTATCTGGGTTCAACTTGCAATGGTAACTCTAAGTCTGGAATTCTTTAACACACATTTACTACTATCAGATTGAGACTTTCCATGTGCTAAAGAAGAATGCTCATATAGATGGCTTTTACTCTACATTGGTGCCAGCATCACATGGTTCAAGGGCTGAGACCTGAGTAGATCTAACATAAGACCCAAATAGCTGACACTAGCAACAATATGTACGGTCCCTGTTCTGCCCCACTTTTTCCACTTAAAAATATATTTGGGACTGGGCGTCGAGGCTCATGCCTGTAATCTTAGCACTATGGGAGGCCAAGGTGGGTGGATCACACAAGGTCAGGATTCAAGACAAGCCTGGCCAACAGAGTGAAACCGACTCTCTACTAAAGATACAAAAAATTAGCTGGGTGTGGTAAGCATGTGCCTGTAGTCCCAACTACTCCTGAGGCTAAGGCAGAAGAATCACTTGAACCCAGGAGGCGGATGCTGCAATGGGCTGAGATTGCTCTCTGCATTTCAGCCTGGGTGACAGAGCAAGACTCCATCTCAAAAAAAAAAAAAAAAAAAAAAAAAAAAAATGCTGGGTGCAGTGGCTCATGCCTGTAATCCCAGCATTTTGGGAGGCCAAGAAGGGCAGATCACTTGAGGTCAGGAGTTTGGGACCAGCATGGCCAACATGGTGAACCCCATCTCTACTAAAATACAAAAACGCAAGTGTGGTGGCGGGTGCCTGTAATCCTAGCTACTTGGGAGGCTGAGGCAGGAGAATCACTTGATCCTGGGCGGCAGAGGTTGCAGTGAGCTGAGATCATGCCACTGTACTCCAGCTTGGGTGACAGAGTGAGCAAGATTCTGTCTCAAAAAAAAAAGAGCTAAGATTAAAAAGTAGCACTTACCCATGAGAAACAAAATAAGTGATCTGATGGCGGAGGCATTCCAGCTCAAAAGCATCTTTGCTATTTTTAGGCTCTTCTTTTGACTTTTACATCTGAAAAGAAATCAACATTAGGTGATCAAAATTCTAGATTGTCTAATTAAATTAACAAATATAAAAATGGGAGCCAAGACAAGACAACAGAAGACCTGTAAGGAACAGCAAAATTCCTGGCTCCAGGAACTGGGGCATTTCCCCATTTATTCAAGCGAGTCTGCTCTCAGCTTCTGGGCCCAATCCCCTACCTACTCAGGAAGGAATTTTATATTTAACTTTTGAACAAGCAACAGTCATTGGGTTAAAAAATTTTAAGCATACAAAAATTTTAAAAAAAAGTGAAAAGTATTGCTCCCTTTATAAAACCACTTTTATTTGTGTGTGCATCCTTCAGTGTCTTCATGCATAAGCAAAAACAAACACATATTCCTAATTTTCCCATCTTTTAGACAAGAGAGAGCATGTAGAGTCCTTGTTCCACCCTGCTTTTTTCACTTAAAAATATATTTGGGAGATCTTTCTTTCTTTGTTTTTAAATTGGTTGCATAATGTTCTGCTTGATGCACACACCATCATTTATATCATTAGTTCCTATTATAGACATCTGAATTATTTCCAGTCTCTTCTGTAAGGAAATCTCTTGGATATGCCTCATTTTGCACATGTGCTGGTTTAAGTGTGGGAACATTTCCAGAAGTAGAATTGCTAGACAAAGGACCTATCAGTTAGAGTTCAGGCAGGACATAGCACATTCAAATTAGGATAGTTTTTTTTTTTAAATAAATTTAAGGAGTACATGTGCAGTTTTGTTAGATAGATATATTGTATAGCGGTGAAGTTTGGGCTTTTAGTGTATCCATCACCTGAATAGTATACGTTATACCCATTAAGTAATTTTTCATCCCTTGGCTGGGCACGTTGGCTCACATCTGTAATCCCAGCACTTTGGGAGTCCGAGGCAGGTGGATCACGAAGTCAAGAGAGCGAGACCACCCTGGCCAACATGTTGAAACCCTGTCTCTACTAAAAAATACAAAAATTAGCTGGGTGTGGTGGCGCATGCCTGTAGTCCCAGCTACATGGGAAGCTGAGGCAGGAGAATTGCTTGAATCTGGGAGGTGGAGGTTGCAGTGAGCCGAGATCGCACCACTGCACTCCAGCCTGGCACCTGGTGACACAGAGAGACTCTGTCTCAAAAAAAAACAAAAAACAAAAAACACACACCAAAAAAAAAGGCTACCACTCTGAAATGCTTTTAAAAAAAATTTCTCATCCCCTAACTCCCCACACGCCCTCTATCCTTCTCAGTCACTAATATTATTCCATACTATATGTCAATATGTGTATATTATTTATTAATAGTTCCTACTTCGAAGAACATGCTGTGCTGATTTTCCGTTTCTGAGTTGTTTCTCTTAAGATAATGGCCTCCTGTTCCTTCCATGTTACTGCAAAAAACATGATTTCATTCTTTTTCATGGCTGAATATTTTGTGTATACATATATTTGTAACCTGTATTTTTTTTTTTGAGATAGGGTCTCGCTGTGTTGCCTAGCCTGGAGTGCAGTGGTGCAATCATGGCTCACTGCAGCCTCAATCTGCCAGGCTCAAACAATCCTCCCACCTGTTTCCCTCGTAGCTGGGACTACAGGCATGTGTCACCACACCCTGACTAATTAAAAAACATTTTTATTTTTATTTTTGGTAGAGACAGGGTCTCATTATGTTGCCCAGGCTGATCTCAAGCTCCTCCTGGATTCTTACCTTGGCCTCTCAAAGTGCTGGGATTACAGATGTGAGCACCGCACCTAGCCACATTTTCTTTATCCAATCATTTGTTGATGGAAACTTAGTTGATTCCATATCTTTGCAACTGTGAACAGTGCTATATTCTGAGAAATTCATTGTTAGGTTATTTCATTGCTGTGCAAACATCATAGAGTACACTTAGACAAACCTAGATAGCACAGCCAACCACACATCTAGGCTACAAATCTGTGCAGCACGGTACTGTGCTGAATACTGTAGACAACTGCAACACAGTGGCATTTGTGTATCTGAACATATCTAGACACAGAAAAGGTACAGTAGAAATACGGTGTGATCTTATTACATAGGAGATGGCTTCCTTCCTTGCCTCCTGGTGACTCAAACTTCACTTGGAACCACATGCCTGATTACTAGATACATTAAAAGAGAAAATGGTTAAGAATTTCAGGCCACTGTCATGTAACGGTCCATCTTTGCCCAAGACATCATTAGGGGGTGCAGGACTGTATTTACAAATGTGTGAGCGGGCTGCAGGCAAACCAGAAGGGAGAGTATCGAACCTGCATCTCACAACATTGAGGGCTGTGGCCACTCTGGCCCTGAAGGAGAAGAGAAGAAGCCAACACTGCAATTTTCAAGAAGAAACTCCCACATGAGTAGCTATGACATGAGACCACTGGATACAGCCAGACCAAGAGGACAGTGCAGGAAGGAGGCTGACGGATAAATATCCCTCTCTGTGTCCCTCCCTTCTCTCATGTGGGGCTCCCCATCGACTGAACACAACCAGAAGTCATAGGGCAAGGGGCCTGGAATTGTATCCTTACCAGACAGGATCCCGGGCCAAGTGCGGGGGCAGGGGGGCAGGCTGGGTCTGAAGAAGCAGACATTAGAGACCTGGCAATGGGACTATGCATGTGCAATTTGAACAGAAACTGTCATGCCAGCCACCCTTGGGGCTGTACCATTTACATAACCACCTGTAATGTGCAAGAATTTTGGTTTCCCTACTATCTATTCTTAGAGGTATATCATCAACTCTTGGATTTTTCTCAAATTCATAAATGAAAACTTGTCTTTCACATTAATATTAATGTGTATTTCTCTTACTCTAAGTATGATTGAACATCTTCATCTTTTCATAGGTTTAAATGCGATTTGTATTTCCTTTCTGTTAATTGTGCCTTTGGCAATTTTTTCCACTGAGCCGTTGCTATTTTCTTACTGGTTTGCAGGGGCTTTCTTTAAGTAGAAGGGAAACTGTGATATGAGTCACATCTTTTTCTTCTCTCCCCAGTTTGTCACTTGCCCTTTGAGTGGCTTGTGCTGTTTAAAAAAACCAACCCCACTCCCCAAAAAAACAGCCAGAAGTTTTTGTTTCATGTTTTCAGATGTAAAGGTATTTTCTTTCTTAGCTTCTAAATTTTGAGGCTCAGTCAGAAGGTCTTCCCTACTCCAAGGTGAGAAAGGAATTCTTAAGAATTTTAAGGATCTCCTTTAGATTTTGTTCCTTCTCTCTCTCAGATATGTTGTCCCCATCCACTTTACTGAGACCTATGGATTGTTGGCATTCTTGTGTCTCCCAAACATTGGGGAAATATCATCAAAATGAAAAAAAGACCAGGAAATCGCAGACTTGTCATGGCTTGTGGTGACTGTCTGTGGCTGGTGGCAGAGAAGACTTTACTGTGGCAGGTTTGGTCAAGAAAAACAGATTTATTAGAGAAAGTAAGAAAATACATTGCAAGGGAGCAACGGGCAGGTCAGCAAGAGAGGCACTGACAGCCAGGAGACAAAGGCTTGCTGGGGATTTTATAAAATGCAACTTGGGCTGAAGGGTGCTACGTGCAGGGCTGACGCCAGTAGCAGGGAACTAACTTGCATTTTTCTGTCAGCCGAGATGTTGGGTAAGTTGAAGCATTCGATGATAAGCAGGAAGATTGTGAGTTATGTATGTTACCTGTGCAGGAGGGCCACATGTCCTGGGCCATAAAGAAAGGCAGACCTATAGCTTGTCTGCTTCTTTTTTTGTTTGTATGTCCTGGACCATGAAGCAAGGTAGACCTATAGCTTATCTGCTTTATCTCTTTGCTTTCCCCTAGTCCCCCCAGCCTGACTCCTCTTCCCTAATCAGGACTCCACAAGACCGAGTTCAAGCTACAAACAATGTAATGTTAAAGTCTTCTTTGCTGCCACAGTAGCAGGTCCAATCAGGGGTATTCTCTTAGAGAAATCCAAGCGATTCCAAGTCAAAATTACCAGCCTTGCTACAGACTCTACCACCCATGAGATATCCAAGCGTGACTGCCTAGAACTAATCCCACAATACTGTACCCATTGAGAAACATCCGCTGAGATACTTTGATGTGTGTTGTCACTCCACAGCAGAGGGGTGGCCCAGTTGTGAGCATTCCCCTAGATATCAGCACACCCAGACTGTAGAAGGGCAACTTTTTCATTTAATTTTTTGAGACAGGGCCTTACTCTGTCACCCAGGCTGGAGTGCAGTGGCGCAATCTCGCCTTACTGAAACCTCTGCCCACCTCAGTCTCCCGAGTAGCTGGGACTACAGGCATGTGCCACTATATCCGGCTAATTTTTGTATTTTTTTAAGAGATGGGGTTTTGCTATGTTGTCCAGGCTGGTCTTGAACTCTTGCGCTCAAGTGATCCTCCTGCTTCAGGCCCTCAAAGTGCTTGGATTGCAGGTGTGAGCCACCGTGCCCGACCAGGGCAACTCCTTTATACTTTTAACACCTAACCTGACCTCCGACCAGTGGCCTCTGTCTCCAATGGTGGCACATCTTCATCTTTGTTATGTATCTGCAGGAACACTCAGTTTCTTCAAATGAGAAAACACACACGCACGCACACACGCGCACATGCACACACACACACACATATATACTCTTTTTCTCTCTCTCTCTCACACACACTCTTAGATGACCCACTCCCACTTTCCCCTCTCTGGGCCAGGCGATGGCTTCCTTCCTTGCCCCCTGGTGACTCATACTTCACTTGGAACCACATGCCTGACTACTAGATTCTTTTTGCTGGGAAAACATAATATCCCATCTTGGCCTCCTGCCTGAATTGTTAATGGAGCTCCTTAAAACTCTTCCTGACTACAAAAAGATCAGTCTTCCTAAAGCATGGCTCTTGTCAACAGGGCTGGTCTCAGTCCCCCAGGGCCCTGCAGCTGGAAGGATCCCACACTTGGCTTAAGGCTCTCCTGTGGCTGTTCTGAAATTCTTAAGCATTTTATCTGTTAATGTATGTTTAGCTCT